ACTGATGTAGCTGCATAAAAAAGTCCATGGAAAGAGAAAAGCATGAAGCATAAGGAGATAGAAGAATTGACAGAGCCCTCTAAATAATAATAATAAAAAAATCCAACAACAAGAAGAACTTTTGACACTAACATTTCCCTATTCGCTCACAGAATCTCTGGATGGCACTTTTATTGTTAGAAGTGATGCTGTCTCAGCAACCCTTAGAAGAACCAGCTGCTGGATTTGGAGCTTACATTGGGAAGGGACCACACAGGAAAGACTAAAGGTTTTTTGATGCCCAGCGTTAGGATCCCTATGTACATCATGGTCAAAAAGAAGGCATAAGGGAATGGTTATTCTGTAGAACTTGATTCAATTTCTCCTTCCGGGATTCAGACAAAAAAAAAATACTTGAAGAGGAGAGGATTACAGTCACAGCCTCCAGAAGAGTCAGGTGGGAAAATAGCACATCACAAATCTCCTTGAGAAAGCTTCTCTAAATTGGGGATCCTTGCTACTCAGGAATGTATTAATTTCATGGATACCTTGGGGGATAGCTGCACCTTGCCTGAGGGCATGTTTTAAAAATCTGTTGCTCTGTACAAGTATAATCATCATGTAAATACCCACAACTTTTGGCATGGAAGACATTTACATCTTCCAATGCAGCAGAGCTCAACTCTCCTAAGATTTAATGTCACTTAGGGCTGGTTGATAGAGCTTGCAGGGCTCCATCCCAGACTTTATAATTTACTTGGTCTTGAGCTGGGGCCTGAGCATATGCATTTCTTACAAGTTCCCTGGAGTTTCTAGAGCTGCTAAAACAGAGACTGTAACATCACCCTTGTGTGTCTCCTTGTGTCTTTTGTCAATCCTATCAGTGCTATTGTGGTCTAATGCTGGTGTGGCCTATAAATTTTTATTTTAACCAATTTTGTCCCATTGTCCCAGATGCAGAACCCCTGTAAAACTTAAATTGAGCATCAGATTTACCACTTATGGCACTTGTGAAATAATAATTATTTTTAGAGATCTATTCTTTTGAGAAAAGTAATAGGTGAATAATTAGAACATTTGAAAGTATTTTTTAAATTCATTGTGAAAATGGCATAAACTTTGCTTAAAAGTTACTTCTACTAAATGTTCAAGTGAATGCAATATTACATACATAACTGATGTAATATAAAATTAATTTTCTTATACATCTTATATATGTAAAGATTTTCTAGAGCTAGGTTGCCATTTCATTTTGAGAAATGCACTGCATTTCAAATTATCTATCAATAGTGGAAAGTAGTTGCTCTGTAAATAGGACAATGGGATAATGCATACTGCAGAATAATGTGCAGTGTACTGCTTGGATGTTCTGGGCTGCAGAAATGATGTCAACCTGCCCTCATTACTCTCTGTTTATATATAGAAATGCATCTTTGTTTCTCTCCAGCCTGCTTTGAGTTCTGTGAGACTGACCTCTACGGGCCATATTAACAGGGCTATGTATTCCTTTTGTTTCCCCTTGGATTTGCCCAATGGAAGTCCCTGCCAGAAAAGAGATGTGAGGTCAGCACATATATTCTCCATGATTCTCAGGGCACTGGATGAACATTGCTGAGGCTGAATGTCTACCCAAAGTCACAGTTCTGCTGCTTCAGTGCTCACCAGTTTTGCTAGCAGTTGATGATAATAATAAGGTGGGTAATAACTACCATCTTCTGTAGAAATCCCTGGAACTAGCAGATCTGGTTAGCTCCCATAATTCTGTCTATACCTTTGGAAAGACTTCCATATTTACATACCCTGGATGTGGATAAAATGATAATAATATAATAGGGAAACAATCCACTGAAACCACTTAATGAGGAAAGCACCCAAGTTTTAGTTATAAATTCTGGGCATCGTGTGGAGTATTGTAATACTGTTATAACTTTGACTTGTATTGTGGGAAGAGTGCTTGAAAGCAACTGAACAATGATCTTTTCCTTGGGAGTAAGGCAGTTCTGCAAATGCTTCATTTAAGTTGTAGAGAATCCACAATCACACTCTGTTTTGATTGACAGTCATTCACTGGTTATGACTTGTTAGCACATCTCTGAACTATTGGATTCCACGCTTACAGGTTCCATGAGGGAAAACAGAATGAACAAGTGTCCTCTAAAATCAACAACATGGATGAAAAAACAAGCAAAAAGAGTTTATAATTATGAATTCAACACAAATAATGAAACTGCCATTGTAAAATTGCTGGATAATAAATGTGTCATTTTTAGTATGAACTACTACTTACTACACAGTGGAACCACTTGGCAAAGTCCAATGATGGAAAAAAATAAAGAGTAGAGCTGATGTGCCCCCAACCAAAGACAGTGGGTGTCTGTAACAATTTCAGGGGTCGAGTGGATAAACATAATTGTGTGGTTCCCAAATATTCCACTTCTATTAGAGGTACAGAATGGATTTTGTTCCCTAAAATAACACATTTGTGAACCAAGACAGGAGAAATCTCAAAACTTTGTTGGCCTTTAAAAGAGACATTTGCTTAGCATACCTAAAATGAGGCAATGAAAACCTATCTGGAGGAAGATAATATAATACTCTCAGACCTACAACTTTTCAAAATGATGTCAAGTTTTTCATTTTAAGGGCAAGAATGTCAAGGATGTCAAAACAAGATACGACATGAAAAACCACACATATTGTCAAAAATGTAACATAACCTTTGTTTGAAGTGCTTTGCTCCTTTCCACCAATGATAATTAATGAACAGGTCATGAAAACTATTTTCTTTGTATATTATGTAAAATGTGTCCACTGTTCTAATTATAGGATGGTATGTGTGTGTGCGTGCACGCATGCATGTATGATTCTAAGCTACAGGTACAAGGAGGAAAACCAGAAAAAACAAGAGTCTTCTGAAATCAACAACACTGATGAAAAACCAAACAAGAGGTTCATATAATTAGCAATTGAATACAAATAATGAAATTATGAAATGCTACATGGTCCCATTGCCCCCTTATAGGACTTCCTGCATTTTGTTTTCACTGACAATAAAACGATAGTTGAGGTATAGATTATGCTATGATTTCCAAACTATTTTAATGCACCTATGCTGCTGAACTTTCTCAGAATTGAAAGCTTGGGACTCAATAGGCTAAGAAATACTCAGGTAATTCTCCTGCAGGTTGGTTGGACACATTTTGAAAAAAAAACTGTGAAATGTGCGATGAGAAAAAGGCAGTCAGGGATGAGAAATCATGGATAGGGAGCAAAGTGCATTCAGAGCACATGGCTCTTAGGACTGAAGGGACAGATGCAACAGCAGAATCAGATGGGAGAGGAGGCAAGAGAAGAAAAGCTCCTGGTGGTCCTGTTCACTTCTTTCCCTCCAGCAAGCTCACCTGGTCTTTATTAATTGCCTCTTCTCACCCTGCAGTTCTAGCTGTCCCATTTTCAGCAGACTTCTGATACTGTACTCAACTCCAGATGTCCTAGGGCTTCTTTTCCTTCCCATGGAGGAGGGGGTGATGTGATATCAGCCCATTCCCTTAGGGTGCTATTGGAGTCCCTTTCAAAGCAGAACCTGCAGATTGCAGCCAAACTCCCAAAAATCAGGACCAGGAGAAGAAGGAATTAACAAAGAGTACAACTTAGTATCGTCCCTTAAAAAGTCCGGAGAGAACTTACATATAAGTATCCAGCTGTAAAATGATATTATACATACACTTGCATAACTGGGTGAAACTAAAAAAGTGAACTTCCATCTTCTCTGAGGGTCTTGATTCTCCGTGGGGCCTGTTAACCTGTTTAGTATCTCCCCACTATTTGGAGCTGGTACTAGTTCTCATCTCAAGAATATATGTAAGCCACCAGGAGTGGTGGCACATGCCTGTAATCACAGTGGCTTGGGAGGCTGAGGCAGGAGGATTGCAAGTTCAAAGCAATGGTGCGGAATTAAGCAACTCAGTGAGATCCTGTCTCTAAATCACATAATAAATAGGGCTAGGGATATGGCTCAATGGTTGAGCACCCCCTGAGTTCAATCCCTGGACTCCCCCCCCCAACAAAAAAAGAATATATGTAAGCCTCTTATAAATATAGGAAATGGAGGGGAGGGTCCATAGATATCAAAGATTGGTACAGAGGTGGAGTCATCTTTCAATAATAAGTACACCTACAAGGCTCAGCATATGAAAGTATCATCTTATTCTGTCCTCATAAGAATTTTATGAGATATATACTATTACTAGCATTCTATAATATGTGATCATGCAATACTTAAAGTAAAGTTAAATAACTGGTACAAGGTGTGTAGCTAATAAGTTTGGAACTGGGATTCAAACCAATCTTCTTCTGATGCGTGTTTGTGTTATTAACCTCTGTGGCCTTCTTGTTACATTTGTCACTTGAAAAGATTGCAGCTCCTGTGAAGTAGGACCTTATGCTACTCACGCTTACTCATGGTTTTTGGCTTCCAGATATAGTGGTTTCTTGGACTGCCTTTCCAATATGGTAGCCAGTAGCCAGTAGCTACTAGCCACTTAATGCTCCTAACCACTTGAAATATGGACATTTTGAATCGATATGAATGTATGCTCAAACAATGGATTTAGAATTAGCATTTAAAAACTTTATTACTATTTTTTAAAATTTCTTCTTTTTGTGGTGATGAGAATGCAACCCAGGGCCTTATGCAAGGTGGGCAAGTACTCTACCACTGATCTACTTCCCTGGTTCTTATTACTACTTTTAATAATTTTGCATTTTGGACATATTTGACTACAAATAATTTTTTTAAATTAACTGGCTTTGTTTCCTTTTGCTTTACCTTTGTGACTCCTGAAATATTATATATATGACTCACATTATATCTCTATCGAATGGCACTTTTCTAAGAGTAGCTGAACCAATTCATTTGCAGTAAGTCCTTCCTTAAGAATTTGGGGCGGTTGGCCATATAGAGGCTGGGGGCGGGGGGAGGTCAAGCGTAGCCTCTTCTCCTTTACCAAGATGGCGGCTTGTCCCTGTTTTGCCACATTTCCTACCTTATGAGCTTGGTTTCCTCACGCTAATAAGAGTGGTACAGTAAAAGCTGGCAGGCTGACAGGCGGCCTCGGGGCGGACTTTCTGGCTACCGACCGTTTTGCTGTGGCTTACCCGGATCACGTGTAGGTGTGAGATCCATGAGCTCCGTTGCAGTTTTGACACAAGAGAGTTTTGCCGAACACCGAAGTGGACTGGTTCCGCAGCAAATCAAAGTGGCTACTTTAAATTCAGAAGAGGAGAGCGACCCTCCCACCTACAAGGATGCCTTCCCCCCACTTCCTGAGAAGGCAGCATGCTTGGACAGTGCCCAGGAACCTGCCGGAGCCTGGAGCACCAAGATCCGGCCCATCAAGGCCTCCGTCATCACTCAGGTGTTCCACGTGCCCCTGGAGGAAAGGAAGTACAAGGACATGAACCAGTTTGGAGAAGGTGAACAAGCCAAGATCTGCCTTGAGATCATGCAGAGGACTGGCGCTCACCTGGAGCTGTCTCTGGCCAAAGATCAAGGCCTCTCCATCATGGTCTCAGGGAAGCTGGATGCTGTCATGAAAGCCCGGAAGGACATTGTCCCTCGATTGCAGACTCAGGCCTCAGCAACTGTTGCCATTCCTAAAGAGCACCATCGTTTTGTGATCGGCAAAAATGGAGAGAAATTGCAAGACTTGGAGCTAAAAACCGCAACCAAAATCCGGATCCCACGCCCAGATGACCCCAGCAACCAGATCAAGATCACTGGCACCAAAGAGGGCATTGAGAAGGCTCGCCATGAGGTCCTGCTCATCTCTGCCGAGCAGGACAAGAGTGCCGTGGAGAGGCTGGAGGTGGAGAAGGCCTTCCACCCCTTCATTGCTGGGCCCTACAATAGACTCGTGGGTGAGATCATGCAGGAAACAGGGACGCGCATCAACATCCCCCCTCCCAGTGTCAGCCGGACAGAAATCGTCTTCACTGGAGAGAAGGAGCAGCTGGCACAGGCTGTGGCTCGCATCAAGAAGATTTACGAGGAGAAGAAAAAGAAGACCACGACCATTGCAGTGGAGGTGAAGAAGTCTCAGCACTAGTATGTCATCGGGCCCAAAGGCAACTCTCCTACAGTTCCTGGAGAGAACTGGGGTTTCTGTGGAGATCCCACCCTCAGACAGCGCCTCTGAGACCGTGATCCTGCGAGGGGAGCCCGAGAAGCTGGGCCAGGAGCTGACTGAGGTCTACGCCAAGGCCAACAGCTTCACGGTCTCCTCAGTGTCCGCCCCCTCCTGGCTTCACCGGTTCATCATCGGCAAGAAAGGGCAGAACCTGGCCAAGATAACACAGCAGATGCCCAAGGTGCACATTGAGTTCACTGAAGGTGAGGACAGGATCACCCTGGAAGGCCCCACCGGGGACGTGAGTGTGGCCCAGGAGCAGATCGAAAGCATGGTCAAGGACCTGGTCAACCGGATGGACTATGTGGAGATTAGCATTGACCACAGGTTCCACAGGCACCTCATCGGGAAGAGCGGGGCCAACATCAACAGAATCAAAGACCAGTACAAGGTGTCTTTGCGCATCCCTCCTGACAGCGAGAAGAGCAACCTAATCCGCATCGAGGGGGACCCTCAGGGCGTGCAGCAGGCCAAGCGGGAGCTGTTGGAGCTGGCCTCTCGCATGGAAAACGAGCGTACCAAGGATCTAATCATTGAGCAGAGATTTCATCGCACAATCATTGGGCAGAAAGGTGAACGCATCCGTGAAATTCGTGACAAATTCCCAGAGGTTATCATCAACTTCCCAGACCCAGCACAGAAAAGCGACATTGTCCAACTCAGAGGGCCCAAGAACGAGGTGGAAAAATGCACCAAGTACATGCAGAAGATGGTGGCCGACCTGGTGGAGAATAGCTATTCGATTTCTGTTCCAATCTTCAAACAGTTTCACAAGAACATCATTGGGAAAGGTGGTGCAAACATCAAGAAGATCCGCGAGGAAAGCAACACCAAGATCGACCTTCCCTCGGAGAACAGCAATTCCGAGACCATCATCATCACAGGCAAGAGAGCCAACTGTGAGGCTGCCCGGAGCCGGATCCTGTCCATCCAGAAAGACCTGGCCAATATCACTGAGGTGGAGGTCTCCATCCCTGCCAAGCTGCACAACTCGCTCATCGGCACCAAGGGCCGCCTGATCCGCGCCATCATGGAGGAGTGCGGGGGCGTGCACATCCACTTCCCTGTGGAGGGCTCCGGGAGCGACACGGTCGTCATCAGGGGCCCCTCCTCTGACGTGGAGAAGGCCAGGAAGCAGCTCCTGCACCTGGCGGAGGAGAAGCAAACAAAGAGCTTCACCGTGGACATCCAAGCCAAGCCAGAGTACCACATGTTCCTCATTGGCAAGGGGGGCGGCAAAATCCGCAACGTGCGTGACAGCACGGGTGCCCGCATCATCTTCCCAGCCGCGGAGGACAAGGACCAAGACCTGATCACTATCATAGGAAAGGAGGACGCTGTCCGGGAGGCACAGCGGGAGCTGGAGGCGCTGATCCAGAACCTGGACAAAGTGGTCGAGGATTCCATGCTGGTGGACCCCAAGCACCACCGCCACTTCGTCATCCGAAGAGGCCAGGTCCTGCGGGAGATCGCAGAGGAGTATGGTGGGGTGATGGTCAGCTTCCCGCGCTCCGGCACACAGAGCAACAAGGTCACCCTCAAAGGTGCCAAGGACTGTGTGGAGGCAGCCAAGAAGCGCATTCAGGAGATCATCGAGGACTTGGAAGCCCAGGTGACGGTGGAGTGCGCCATCCCCCAAAGGTTCCATCGATCTGTCATGGGCCCCAAAGGCTCCAGGATCCAGCAGATCACTCGGGATTACAATGTCCAGATCAAGTTCCCAGACAGAGAGGAGAACCCAGTCCCCAGCACAGAGCCAGCTGTCCAGGAGAACGGTGAGGAGGCCGGGGAGGGCAGAGAGGCTGAGCCTGGCTCTCCACGGAGGTGCGACATTATCGTCATCTCTGGCCGAAAAGAGAGGTGTGAGGCAGCCAAGGAGGCACTGGAGGCTCTGGTTCCTGTCACCATCGAGGTGGAGGTGCCCTTTGACCTTCACCGTTACATCATCGGGCAGAAGGGAAGCGGGATCCGCAAGATGATGGACGAGTTTGAGGTGAACATTCACGTCCCAGCTCCTGAGCGGCAGTCTGACGTCATCGCCATCACCGGCCTCGCTGCTAATCTGGACCGAGCCAAGGCCCGGCTGCTAGAGCGCGTGAAGGAGCTGCAGGCTGAGCAGGAGGACCGGGCTCTACGGAGTTTCAAGCTGAGCGTCACTGTAGACCCCAAATACCATCCCAAAATCATCGGAAGAAAGGGGGCAGTGATCACCCAGATCCGGCTGGAGCACGACCTGAACATCCAGTTTCCGGACAAGGACGTTGGCAGCCAGCCCCAGGACCAAATCACCATCACAGGGTACGAGAAGAACACAGAAGCCGCCCGCAACGCCATCCTGAAGATCGTGGGTGAGCTTGAGCAGATGGTCTCTAAAGACGTCCCTCTGGACCACTGTGTCCACGCCCGCATCATTGGCGCCCGAGGCAAAGCCATCCGAAAAATCATGGGTGAATTCAAGGTGGACATCCGCTTCCCACAGACTGGAGCCCCAGACCCCAACTGTGTCACTGTGACAGGGCTCCCGGAGAACTTGGAGGAGGCCATCGATCACATCCTCAACCTGGAGGAGGAATACCTGGCCGACGTGGTGGACAGTGAGGCTCTGCAGGGCTACCTTAAGCCCCCCGTGCACGAGGAGTCCAAGGCCCCCTCCAAAGGCTTTGTGGTGCGGGATGCGCCCTGGACTGCCAGCAGCAGTGAGAAGGCTCCTGATATGAGCAGCTCTGAGGAGTTTCCCAGCTTTGGGGCTCAGGTGGCCCCCAAGACCCTCCCTTGGGGCCCCAAACGATAATGATCAAAAAGCAGCACCCTCTCCAGCTGCTGAGCAAACCCGCCACACAGTTTGTCTCGGTCTGACCCAGCGGCTGGGCCCCAATTGCTGACGCTCCCCCTCCCGAGGTCTCGCAGTGAAGCCTGACGGCCGGCCCTGTCACCACCTCCCCAGGCCTGGTCGTCACCCAGCGGGCTCAGGGGCTGCCCCTGGGTGGTGCCCCAGGACAGGTGCCACCATGTTGAACACTAAGCAGAGGTCATTGCGCATTTGTGGTAAGACTCCAGCTTCCTGGTCACCCAGCATGCGGTCAGCACTGACCTTCACCAGAGCTCCACAGCAGCGGCTCGGAGTCGACTTCCTGTGTCATGACCTCAGGAAATAAATTTCCTTGACTTTATAAAAAAAAAAAAAAAAAAGAATTTGAATTACAAGACTGCCGATAGTTGCAGCCGAGAAAAAAACATAATTTAGGTGAGAGAAAGAGAGAACAGAACTAGAAAAAGTGTATGATATCAACTTAGGGAGAGAAGGTGGCAGCTGGGAATCAATCCCCCTCTCTTGCCATGTGCTCAGCGACCTTGTGAGTCATAGGAAACCAGGTGGTGAGTAATGGAGCCATGGGGATATGGATCACACCTGCCGCTGGATCATGCCAGTCCCTGGCAGGTCATAGACACACAGGGTTGAGCCCTTTAACCCTCTTTTCCCCAGTTTTCTAGTCATTGCAGCCTATGAGTGTTAGATGATTTCAGTTTGTCCTCCTGAAAAGGCTGAGGACTAAGAAGTCTCCCTTGTCAGTGTCAGGAAACAGGGCAGAAATGAGATGCAAATCCAAATATAATTAACTCACCTATCAGAAGTCCTGCAATAGTAACCTTGAAATCCCCTTCTCTAACTGTTTTTGGGCAATCAGTGTGAGCCAATGTCTGGTATGAGCACCATTTGATTGGGAGCTCATTGAACCTACATGCACAGCACTGAATTCTTCTTAAAACCGAAAGGGATATTAGTGCTTTCTGTCAAACAATAACAAAAAATGTTTCTCCTTGACCAGATAGCTTAGAAAAATGTTTACTGGTCCCTCAAAATGTCAGCAGCCACCCCCCTACTGCCCACTGTCTAAGCAAGAATATATCAGGAGATTTTATTTTTGCCTTAGAGTTGGAAAGCAGAAGCACTCGGGCTGAAGTCCTGACTTTTGTGTCTTTCTTTACTTCATTTCCATTTCTTTATGCCAAGAACATAGGCTTGTTATCAAGTTGCCTCACTCCTGGTGCTGCTTGGTAGCAGGGAGGCTTTTTTGAGACCTGAGGAGATATACTAGAACACAAGCTATTCATTGTGAAGCATTTTGACAGTTTCGAAGGGGCAAAGATGAGAGAAGTTGATTGGGACGTTTGTTTCCTCTCCTCCATCATGCCAGACTAGGTACAAGGTCCTTTGCTTTGAGCATCTTATGTCTCATTGCAGCCTTGGCATGATTATTATAAGTGCAGTTATCTCTATCTCTTCATTCAGGAAATCAGCATTTCCTTTGTTTATGTAACATACCAATGCCACCAATTTGCCAAAGTCTCACAGCTTGGTTCATTCCAGAATACTTGTTGAGGACTCCAACTTCCTGCTGAACCCTAAGCAGCAGAGAGGAGGAGGAGACCAGCCCTATCCTAATTGTTGACACATTGGACAAACAAGTAGCTTATCTGTGGGAAATAATTATTCTCCATATGGGATCCTCATGGACTGGAGAGGACAGGGAAAACTAAGGGCTTAGCAGTATTCTTAAAAATTCTGCACTCAACAAACCAAAGGCTTGTGTGAGCTCAATATGGCTCACAGATCTCTAGTTTGCAGTTTGTAGGACATCTTTGAATTTGAATTAGAGTAAATAGGACTTTGAAATCTAAATCCAAGATCTGCTTCATGGAACTGGGCAAGAGAGGGAAGAGATCCTATTACTTCATTTTACCCTGAGCCAACTGTCATTTAGTATGGCAAAATGGGAATACTTTTGGCAATGCCTGTTTCAGAAAACCAGAATGCTGGGCTGTTTCAGCCTGGCTAACCTGTCTCATTTCTCTCCTCTTATCATCTCAAACTCAAGGCAAGTAGGGTACGTTATTGGTACCACAGAACACTTACTGTTCCTCTCCTCAAACTTCCTAGCTTCAACTCTCACCCCAAACCACATACACTATGTGAACTCCAGGACTTCTGCTCACAAAGCCATATCAGGAAAGCAAATATGTTCTGTCCTTCTCCCAGTCTTTCTAGAAGAGGAAATTGAGGTACAATCTCATGGCACCTGCACTTATGTGTGAGCTCAGACCTTTCCTCACAGAGAGGCATAGGACAGGGGATGATGAAGGAATCTGCCATTCACTGCACACACTGAGTTAACTCAGACAACAAGACCCTGGGGTCTGAACAATGATGTGCCTGACTGCAGATAGATAATACAAAAGCAGACAATTCCTCAGCCACTTAAAATGTATAAGTAAGTATACTTGAGAGTAAAAGATAATCCCTTTGAGGAACCAGGAATCTCCTATGGGTTGTCAGAATTCTGAGAATCAATGTGAACCCTCTACAATAGTGATTTTCTCCACACATTTCCTCCTGCTCTCTGGGCAGTTCTACTGGAGAAACATGGGTACTTCACTCAGCTTCAATATCTTTCCAGATTCTGCCTCTTGCCATTGTCTCCTTGACAACTGGGAAAGCAGCACCACTCAGACTGATGACATCCAAACAAGGACGAACTGTCCCTTGAGGCTGAAGGTCTAAGGAATGGAAACAACCAAATCACCCCCGATAGTGGTCTGGGAAAAGAAATATGGCAGTTTTTTAGGGTTGGATAAGAAATACTCCTCAAGATTTGTTGTCAAAATAATGATCATGCGGCAGCTGAGAGTGTAAAGCATGTTCTCATTTAAAGCAATAAGAGATTTATATCTCTTCATGCAGTCATGTGATGGTTGGGACTCAGATCAGTTAGTGAGATGCACATTCCATTATTTATTCTGTGTATTTTTTTTTTTCATTTTGTACTGTGTGGACACCTATAGAAAAGAAACTAGAAATATTCTGTCTTTGCTCTAGTTAATCTTGGTGCTCATTGGCTGATTTTTCTTAGAAAGTTGGGGAGTGGAGGGATTGGGGAAGAGGTAGAATTGGTGTTAGTTCATTAGTTTATGGCTTGGATGACAAAGAGGCAAACTAAAATCTAATCTCTTGCTGAACCAGAGGATATAATTTAGGGTATCATAAGCAGAATTGGTCCAATGAATTTGAATGCTGTTAAAATGCCACCATTAAAACAGCAAAGTTGGTATACCCAAGAGTTTATAGGAGCTCTTATTCTCACAATAATTTGGAATAAATTTTTCCAGATCAACCGAGTCGTTTTGACAGCCCACCACATTTATTCTCATTGAGTATTTGAGCTAGGAGGGAATTATTTAAATACGAGATAAAAGAGAAAAGGAAGTTGAAAGTGAGATTCAGCATGAATAAAGTACAATACTGAATGAACTCATGGACAATGGAAGCTGATTGTTCATGAGAAAAAGCTCCTGAAATAGAACTGGGAAGGATCTGTCTTTCTTTGCAAAATAAAGTTAATTTTCTTTTTCATTTCTTCTGTGTTTAACAGAACAAATTACTTTTTCTATAACCTCTGCACTGAACACTTCCAATATCCACTCACCACTTAAAATTTTCTTAATGTATTAATACATTAATGTGAATCTCTATGAAGTCCAGAGCATGACTGTGGCAAATGGCTTTTCCAAAAATGGCCATGAGCAATATTTCTGGGACAACATGTTCTTCCAGAAGATTGTGCTTTACCCTTAAGAACAAGAGGCAATTTTCCCTTGAATCTGAGTGGGTTTGTGTCTACTTTAACCAAGAAGGTGCATGGGAGGATGCAAAATGACATCTGAGTCTGGGTACAGGTTTCTCCTGTTTCTCCTTCTCTCTTCCACTATGACCCCTCCTCTATGTTGCTCTCCCTCTCTTTCTTTTTGCATGTCTTTCTTTCTGTCTCTGACTTTCTCGGTCTCTCCTTCTCTTTCTGTGTCTCTCTGTCCCTTTCTCTTTTTCTCTGTCCCTGTCTCTGTCTCTCTTCCTATGCATCTCTCTCAATCTCTGTCTGTCTCTTTCTCTATTTTTATCTCTTTTGAGACCTTCACCCTCAGAATCTGGCTGTCATGTTGTGATTAAGCTGAAGCCACACGAGAGGCCATGGACAGCTCTTCCCACCAATAGCCCTGGCTGAGTTGACCGTGCCAACAGCCTGAAGGAACTGCCAGATGTTTGAGTGAGGAATCTCTAGATGGTTTCAACTCAGTCTTCAAACATCCTAGACCACTGAATGGAGCAGAGATGCCCTGTCTTCCAGTCTTGCTGAAAAGGTAGACTCATAAACAATAGCAATGTTTTGTTTTGACTTCATGTTCTGGGGTATGGTGTTCCACAGGGTCATCACCTTTCTCCAGCTCTCCTGCTGCTGTGTCTTCATCAACTTTACCACCTCACCTAATCTTGCTCTAGTCACCAAACTGATGTTGGAAGTTGTATTAGTTTGCTAGGGCTGCCATAGCAAAGTACCACAGATTGGGTGGTTTAAGTAACAGAAAACAATTGTATTGCAGCTCAGGATGCTGCAGGTCAGAGATCAAGGTGCTGGCAGGGCTGCAGCCCTCTGAAAGTGCTAGGGAAGCATCTGTTTCATACCTCGTTCTTGGCTGTTGGTACTCCTTTGCTATTCCAGTCTACACAGTACACAGTTTTCTCTCTGTGTACATGTCGGTCTCCAAATTTCCGCTTTTTATAAGGACACCAGTCATATTGAATTAAGGGCCGCCTTAGTTCTGTATGACTTCATCTTAACTAACTGTATTTGCAATGACCTAATTTCCAAATAAGGTCACATTATGATACACTGGAGGTTAGGACTTCAACATAAGAATATCTGAGGGACAAAAGTCAAACAAAACACTTCCTTTGAGGACCCATAGGTCCCCATTGTTTCTGAGCCCTGAGAAACTCTAGTTCCCACATGTCTCTCACCTTATCCATGTCCCTGGTACAAATTAGGAGGCTCCTGGTCATTTTGGCTCCAGGATCTTATTTCTTGCCCTCAGCTTCGTCCTTCTTCTTGTTCTACTTCATAGTAACCTTTCCAGATTCCCCGCAAGGTGGGTGCACCTGTTCCAAAATGAAGCCTGCTTAAGATTTGATAGTAGCTGAGCACCACTGGGCATTGGTATGTCAGCCTCCTGCTGACTGAACCTCAAAATATAGGCTCTTGCTGGATGAGAGTCACTGCTGAACTGCTTACTCCCTAACTCAGAACCACCAACTCCAAAGGTGGATCATCACTTTTGGGTGTCAGTGTAGGGA